TTCACCCGTATCTTCCTGGACAGGTATATTCCACCCTCCCAGAGGGAAGAGTTGCGGTTTTAGTTTGAGCAGCTCCAGCAGGGTGAGATGTTAGTGACCGATTATGAGGCGAGGTTCTCTGAGTTATCTTGCCATGCACTTATGATACTCCTTACTGAGGCGGAGAGAGTGCGGAGGTTTGTTGCGGGTTTACATACTGGCATTCGGGCCATCATGGTGTTCCTATTTATCCTATGATTGTTATTGTGATACTAATATTGTCTCCCTTTTTGTCTTTTTGCCTTTTTGTTTTTTGAGCCGAGGGTCTTTCGGAAACAGCCTCTCTACTTCTTCGGGGTAAGGGTAAAATCTGCGTACACACTACTCTCCCCAGACCCCATTAGTGGGATTTTACTGGGTTGTTTTTGTTGTTGTTGTTGTATGGACCGGGAGGTTGAGATGGGTACTTCTTATGAGCTAGTCGTGGAGATAACCCGGAGGATTGAGGGTGTGCGTCAGCGGAGCCGAGAGTAGGTTATGAGAGATAAGCGGTTTAGATATGCTGGAGAGTTCAGAGGTGCTCCGTCTGGGGGTAGAGGTAAGTTTGTGAGAGGGCAGTCCAGCATGCCCCCAAATCCAGCACCACCGCCTCCTTGGGGTCCTCTAGTGTGACCTTATTTCAGTGCTATACCAGAGAGTTCTTATCGCCCACCAGCTATTCAAGGTTCTTCCAGTGAGTATTCAGGTGACCAGGGCCAGATTCTTAGTTAGCAGTCCATTGTACCGAAAAGTTGTTACGAGTGCGGGGATCCCAGTCACATACGGAGATTCTGCCCCCGGCTTCGGGGTAGTCCAATGCAACAAGGTCAGCAGCCTATGTTTACCGCACCAGTTGCTCCATCTGTAGTCCGACCACCAAGAGGTGGAGGACATGTGGGTAGGCTATTGGGCGCACGTTAATTAGCTTCTAAAAGACAAATATTTTATTACCATTATTATTATTATTATTAATTTATTAGTACTTCTTTTCTGTCCTTAGTTTACGGGTATCAAATAGGAAAAGTATGAAACTTTAAACTGCCTTTTTTAGCTTTATCGTTAAAGTAAACAAATGGGACCTACAAGTCCAATTGTCAAATAATAAAGAGCCTCATATGAGTATGATGCGGCATGTGAAACATAAAATAAAATTTCTCCATTTAACCTTTAATTAAAGAGAAAATATGATTTTACTCCGGTCATTAATACTAGCAGAAGTTATAATAAGACTATAAGAGTAAGCAGGGCTTGCTTTATATGCGATGTATATAGCTTTTTTAAAAATGAAAACAGCAGGTCGCTTATAGAAGCAACGACATAAAATATTTTTAAACCAAAACCGCGGTATTTCCTTATCCCCATTTCCTTCGTTTTCCGTTTCTCTACAATTTCTCAGCTATCTCTACTCTCCAAAAAGATATTTAATGATCACTCAACTCGTGTATTGACAGACTCCCAGTCCTTTACTTCTTGCATATATGAATCTTACAAATTCACTCCCTCCAAAAATAGAATATTTTTTTAGGATTTGAGTAAGACTTTTTGAAAGTGACACAATGTCTTACTTACCGTCAAAGACTTATTCAGAATTTAAAGGTTGTGGGCCGCGGGTCACATGAGCCGGTGTCGCAATTGAACTTTTAATCTTAAAGGTTTCAAGCAAAATATATGACCATTTTTAATATATATACACTTATATATTTAAAAAATTTGCCGAATTTAATGCGTACGTCCGCCTCTACAATCACAGAGAAGTGAGAGGATATGTCGTGATTTTTCATTTAGTAGCTAGCTGGAAATGTAGAAACAACTATGTTCATGCTTTATGAAAAGATCATTGACATAATTACTTGCTATTTTATAAGTAGGTGACGGTGAACTTAGTTATTAGTATAATATACTATTAATTTAATATCCTTGTAGAAATTTATAATCTTAAATCCCTCTCTCCTTAGTTGGATACGAATACCACATAGAGAGAGAGCCAGTACAGCAGAAGACGTACCACGATATGCGTCAAAAGACTAACAAGTTGATTAGCCATGTAAATGGGTAAGTCAAAGGTGCTAAAAAAAATGATTCAAAAGGAACCTTTTCTTTTTCTTTTTTCTCTCTTTTCTTTTCTCCTTCGTTCTTTTTTGCTACACTTAATCCCAAAGGAACCTTATCTTTGCTCGATCGGTGATTTATAAAGAAAAGAATAATAAGAAATAGCCATAAGAAGCAGTGAAAACTTATCATATCATCTTCTCCGAATCAAAGTTATAAGGTTGGTCCTGTTTACTCGGGCAGATGTAGTGCATTGTCGACGGGTTCAATTGAACCTATAATTTTCGACGCGGAATAAAAATTCATTAAAATTACAAAAATAGTGAATATGAACCTATAGCATTAAATATATAATTGGTTAAATGCTAAAAATTTCAAAAATTAAACCTATAGGATTTAAATCTTGGATCCGACTCGTGTTTGCTTACCCAAGAACTTATCCCTTCTTCATAACCATTAACAGAAATGCATCTCGTGTCCACCACCCAACTTGATATATTATTCGTGCACTACACACTTTAAAAAGGGGACCATAAAATTTATAACCATATAATGAAATAGAACAAAAGTTGCAGTAGATATTTTACAGTCCCTAATTACTCATCTTAATTTAGACCTGAGAATTCCTTTTGGTCCGTTCAGTAGGGAGTTTGTTAATTTCATTTTTGTTCACTTCATAATATTTGATAAAACATTAATTCTATTTGAATTTTAAAGAAATATCTTCAAAAATCCTCAACGGTTCAAACCATTGTTGTGTTTCACTCTCATCAAATATACCTTACATCCAGAAAATGGTCCATATAGGAATATCACACGCATGAACTATCGTAAGAGATAAATTAACAATGTGTATAAATAATTGACCCTATATACGCCACAATCCAAAACTCGAAAATAAGAAGAATAAATTAACAACCGGTTAAATTGACTTGACTATTTAAAATTTTTTATACTATTAGCGTATATAACTTAAATTCTAATTAACATCCGCATCTACCAAAATTTATATGCATAGTTTCATTCTCATATAAAAATGTAACATGCACGCTTATTACCACACCGGGTATTAATGTGCTTAAGATGGGGTAAGGATGGTTAACGATCATATAAAGAATACTCCAGTATATACATACCATCAACTGAAGTGAGACTTTAGCGCTCTCCACATGTTTAGGAATATTGAACATTAGGTGTATGAATAATACTCCATCTGTTTTATTTTATGTGAACATATTTTTTTTAAGTACGTGTCAAAAAGAATGATCCATTTCCTTATTTGGAAACAATTTACCTTTATGCAATGATTTATAACCACACAAAATATATGTGCCTTATTTTACACCACAAGTTCAAAAGTCTTCTCTTTTCTTAAACTCTGTGCACACCCAAATGGATTCACATAAATTGAAACCGAGGGAGTATAAATTGGGTCTAACATTAGGTGGCCCAACATAAAAAAATGAGTAGGGTCGGAGCTAGAATATCGGTTACAGTTCAATTAAATTCGGTTGCTTTGGATTAAATTTTGTATTCGTCTAAAAAATTTATTAACTATATACAAGTTATTAATTTAGAATTTTAAAACTTAGAACGGCTGAAATTTCAAATTTATAAGGTTCAAATTCTAACAATGATGAATGTGATTCTAATACGTATCAGATAAAGAAAAGTAGATCTTAAATATGATCTAAACGCATAACTCCAAGACTATATAAAGAAACCAGACCATTCCCTCAACCATTTTGGATTCTAAAACAATTATCACGTGTGACAAGGCTTTACATAAGATGCGAGCAGTGCACAAGAGAGAGAATCCAAGCCACCAAAATGCTTTTCAATTCAAGGAGAGAATAAAATCAATAGGACATTGGGAGAAGAATCTGGACTAAATTGACCGTCCTTCTTGAACTACCTAGCTATGTACATATTTTGTTTCTAGTGTTGTATGGCTCTAGTTTGTCCAGAGCATATATGTGTTAAAAAGTTTATTATCAATATAATAAATAATTTATTACACTGATTACATTATCTAAAAGATACTCCAAATAATTATATGAATCATTCATGATAAGTGAAATTAATAATATAAAATTTACTCCGTGACTGTATAAGTTAAATTTCTATAAAACAATTGAGAGTGCGTGCGCACACGTATATATGTGTGCGCGTGATATATATATATATATAGACACACAAAAAAAATTAGTTTAAGTAAAGAATGTTGCAACCTACTCAAGCAATGCTAATACACCGATGGAGACCGATCTAGGAGTTTGAATTTATAGTATGCATGGGTATATATTATTCCTATCAAGTACTTTTCCATTTATATGACATTTTTTCTTTATTGAAAATTTTTTTTCAAAAAAAAAAATGATATATCCTTTAAATTAAAAATAATTTAACTTAAATTTCTCATTTTATTCTTAAATGTGAACTAAGTATAAAGTTTTTATCTTAATGGGCCCACAGACTACGAATATCAGGCCATCCCTCGAACTTTATTAAGTACAAATTAAATAGAGTTGAAAGGTGAATGACCAGATGGAATATATGTATCCTCCAAGTTGCCCATTGTGTTGGAACGAAATAGTATCTTCTGTTTTAAGTTTGAATAGTTACTTTGGAAGATCAGATCAATACCATGCATATTTAATTAGATGAAGCATCTAAAGAAAGCTCACTGTCTTTTTGAATATTGTTCTTTTCTGGTTTTTTAAAAAGGATCCCACTTCATAAATTTCATCACCGCTATATATTCCTTTACCCTTTGTTATAAATAGGGTAGAACCTGAACAACCCAATTTCCATCTAAACTCGGAGCTTCAAAAAAAAAAAAATATACCCCTAGTACGTAAATCTCCATCTCTTTAATTCCTCTCCTCCTTAATTACATATTATAGTGTAAAACAATTAGTCATCGGATCAAAGTTCAATTTGTTTGAACTTTGCAATCCGATGGTGTGCTTGTTTTAGCTTAAGAAACACATAGAAAAAACCCCTAAACATTTCATTACTTGTTCAAGGTAGAGGAAAGAAGGAATATAGGATAAGAGAAATGGATAAAGTACAGAAATTGGCATCAGAAAATGGAGTAATGATATTTAGCAAGAGTACGTGCTGCTTGTGCTACGCAGTGAGTATTCTATTCCGAGAGTTAGGGGTGAATGCGTACGTGCATGAACTGGATCATGACTCAGATGGAAAGGAAATGGACAAGTCCCTAATTAAAATGGGTTGCAATCCTTCAGTACCAGCAGTTTTCATAGGAGGGAAATTGATTGGTTCTACTAATGAAATCATGTCTCTCCATCTTAAAGGCTCTCTCCTTCAACTCCTTAAGCCATATATGCCTGTTTGAAAATTAATGAAAGGTTAAGGTTAAGTAATTATAATATTAATTAGGATTTAAGAGAAGAACCAAAAATGAATAAACTTGGGTCGATCGAAGGGACACTAATTAAGCTAGCTAGTCGTGGAGATCAAGGTCTTGATCCAGAATATTACTGTAATTTTCAAATGTTATTTGATCAGTATTACTATTAGTCAGTGGTTAGCTAGCATAAAATATATATGCAGCTTAATTAGTTGTTTGTCTACGGACAATTAAAATGGTATCGTTGCCTAGTGCAAGGATTGTAATTTTAATCCATTTCCTCAATGATAAAGTTGCTTTATTACATTGCGCCCCTTAAATTTATTATCATTTGCTTAAAGTAGAGAAGGAAAACTTTTCCACTTTTCGTTAAGTTACGTTGATCTCACTGGCCTTGTGCCCTCGTGTGATTTTGTTCATACAATTTAATTAGTAGTCCCTTTTAAGTATTTAAAATAAAATAATCTCCTATTGTATCGCAGACTCTAGTTATTTAGTTCACATGGCTTTATATATATTAGTCTTAGGGTACGCGCCTTGTGCGTGTATCTATACCAATAAATATATAATTTTTACAAATTATGTAAATCTATACTATATTAAAAGTACGAAAACCCTTAACGAAATGTCATTCGTCTTTTTTACCCTTTAAAAACAGATTTTACATTGGACAAAATTGTAATTTAATTTATTTTCCTAATATTTAGAACTTTAAAATCAACTAAACTTTGAATATTAAATCTTTTCTTGCTTAAAATATTATTATAGATTCTTAATATTTAAGACATTAAAATCACTTAAGATTTACCTTTCATAAATTCTTTCCTAATTGAAGTAGGTAACACAAGTATAATTGGTAGTACTAAATATTAGAAAAATATTAAGGCTAAACGTTAGCTTACTTGTCAAAAAGACACGTAAAAAATAAATTCTTTGAGCATAAAATTTTTATTGCAAAATAACTATAATTCTTTAATGTTGTTTTTCTTAATATTTACTCCATAATATCTTGAGCTTAACTGAAATTTTGTTTATTAAATTCTCCGTATTTGATTTAAGTCCTTATATTTAGGATTCTGAAATTAATTAAAATTTATTTAGAATTAATTAAAATTTAATCTTCTGTAAATTATGCTCTTATTTGAATAGTGTATAATAATCATATAAATTCCTTCCAAACTAACTTTGAACTTTATATATGCACTATAATAATTTTTATATTACATTTGTACTCCTTTCCTTCACTAGCTTGCTTTAGTATCCTTTTTGAGTGTTTTTTTTAGTTTTTATTGCACTTTGGTTTTTGTATTCATTTGACATTAGTAAATTATTAGTTACATACTGATATATTTTAAATACTATCCTTCAGTATTATATAGGTTTTCAAGGGTAATCTGTTATTTCTCAAACTGAAAAGGAAGCATAATAACTTGTGAAATTAAAATTATGATATTATAAAATGGGAACAAATTCTAAATTAAATTATTGACTAATGATTGAAAATTTTTACGAGACAGTTTCTTTCTTGAATGAGTTAGTTATACACTATCAACATTCATGATCATCCTCATAAACTTACACTTTATTTTATAACTCAAACATAAATTTTATATAAATTAATACTCATCGATACGAGGTACACACTACTAGAAAACTGACATTTTTCGTCCAAAAATTTTCGACCAAAATCGGTCGGAAAACAAACCGACCGAAATCAGTCGAAAATGAAGTATTTAGTCGCAAAAGTCAACAAAAATCTGGCTGACAGCAAAAAAAAAAAAAATATTTCGACCGATATTGGTCGGAAATTGGTCAAATATTTGGTCATACTTCTATATAATGTGCAAAATAATTATTTATTAAAATATTTCCAAATTTTGGTCAAATATTTGGTCATACTTGTATATAATGTACAAAAATAATTATATATTAAAAGTTTTAATAATTTCTGACCGATTTTGGTCGGAAAGTTTAAATTTTTTGTTTCCTGCCCAAGACAAAAATTATATATATTTAATTAACCAACCGAAATAATTATAATTCAATATTCCCGACCGAATTCAGTCGGAAAAATGCTTTTATACAAATTAAAATATAAATTTAATAATATTTGTGTGTCTAAATAATAAAGAGCTTTTAAATAAATAATATTTAATACTTATTTGATATATATATATATATATATATATATATCTTAATATAGTATTATATTCGATATAATATAGCTTATATATATAAGCTATATTCGATATATATATATAGACATCTTAATATAGCTAATGTTATATCGAATTGTCACGACCCAAAATCCCAACCTGTCGTGATGGCGCCTATCTCGATACTAGGCAAGCCGAAAATCTTAATAAACCAAAACTTCTCTTTAAGGTTAAGAATACAATAGTTAAATACAATACAAATACTCCCCAAAACTTGGTGTCACTGAGTACATGAGCATCTAATATGAATACAAGTCTGAAAAATATAGTCTATAATAGTCTGAGACCAAATACAGTAAACAAAGAGATAGAGAAGGAGAGACAAGATCTGCGGAACACGGAAGCTACCTCAAAATCTTCTGAAAATCAACCGCGCGAAAGGATCAACACCCGCTATGTTCGGGAACACCTGGATCTGCACACGAAGTGCAGGGTGTAGTATGAGTACAACCAACTCAGCAAGTAACAATAATAAATAAGGAACTGAAGATAGTAACGAGCTACACAGTTATGGTTCATTTCCAGTAATTCCAGCAAAGAATAGACATGCTATCAAATCTGGCAGTTTAATGTCAAATCAATTTTTATACAGTTCATGTTCATGTAATCCGTATATCAACAATCTTTCAGAGATTTCACAACAATGACAGATAGCAACTAAGTGCAACAACAAATGGAAATCAAGTACAACCTCTTAGGACAACAATCACTCCCTGGGCTCCCAGCCCTCATCACTCCCTGGGCTCCCAGCCCTCATCACTCACTCTCAATGGGTACCCGCGCTCACTGGGGGTGTACAGACTCCGAAAGGGCTCCTACAGCCCAAGTGCTATAATCTGCACGGATAACTCACGTGCTGCACAGACAACTCACATGCCATAATATAACTATCTGGATCCGCACGGCCAACTCACGTGCTGCACGGCCAACTCACGTGCTATAGTATAATATAAGAATCTGCACGGCCAACTCACATGCTGCACAGACAACTCACGTGCTATAGTATAATATCTCACAATCAGGCCCTCAACCTCTCGGGCTCTTAATAATCATGAAATCATCCCAAACAAAAATGATATGATGTATCAATAATAACAACCGAGACTGAGATAAAATGTGCAAGTAAAAGCTGAGGCTGAGTACATATAGCATTTAGCAGGCAATTTGTAATGACCTGACTGGTCATTTTAAAGATCTGCACTTCTCTCGATGTTTGAGGGCTCGAGTATCTCTGTATGATGTATTATGACTTGCGTAAACCGTTGGTGTTGGTTTTCAAGTTATCCAGAATCGATTTAGAAGAATGAACTTCAAAATTTAAGCTCTAAGTTGGAAGAGCTGACAGAGTTTAACTTTTTAGCATTTGACCTCGGAATGGAGTTCTGTCAGTTCCGTTAGCTCCGTTGGGTGATTTTGGACTTAGGAGCGAGCCCAAATTGTAATTTGAAGGTCCGTAGTCGAATTAGTCTGGATTTGGTGAAAGTTGGAGTTTTTTGGGAAGTTTGACTGGGAGTGGACTTTTTGATATCGGGGTCGGATTCCGATTTCGGAAGTTAGAATAGGTCCGTAATGGCAAATGTGACTTGTGTTTAAAATTTGAGGTCAACCGGAGGTGATTTGAGAGGTTTCGGCATCGGTTGTAGAAGTTGAAGTTTCAAAGTTTATTGATTTTGACTTGAGGTATGATTCATTGTTTTGAGGTTGTTATGCGTGATTTGAAGCTTCGAGTAGGTTCGTTTCGTCAAATGGAAATTGTTTGCAAAATTTGACGCCATTCGGAGTTGATTTGATATGGTTCGGACGCTCGGTTGCGATTCTAGAAGTTCTTGAAGTTTAGTTTATCTCATGCGTTTTGACGTCCGATTCGTTGTTTTAGAATTTATTTTGATGATTTGAGCACGCGAGCAAGTTCGTGTTGTGTTTCTAGACCTGGGTGCATGATTGGTTTGGAGCCCCGAGGGCTCGGGTGAGTTTCTGATTGATTCTTCATAAATTTTGATTGCTGGTACTGGTATCATCGCATTTGCGATGTATTGGTCGCAAGTGCGACAACCGCAATTGCGAAGCAGCCAACGCATTTGCGAAGTCTGGGTTGCTGGGGAGAGTTTGCATTTGCGAAGAACTCTGCCGCATTTGCGAAATTTCTGCCTTCGCATTTGCGAAGTATAGGGTCACAATTGCGACCTAAGCAGGAGGCCCTCCAGTTCGCATTTGCGATACATTGTTTACATTTGCGAGGGTCACATTTGCGAACCCCCTGTCGCAAATGCGACATCTGCAACATGTTAAGTGCTGAGAATTCCGAGACTTAGCTTCATTTGGGTATATTTTGAACCCTAGGTCCGAGAAGAGGCGATTTTGTGAAGGGATTTTCATACCAAATCATTGGGTAAGTACCTTTAATCATTTCCCAACTACATTTCATGATTATATATATGATTTAACATCAAATTCATGAGAATCTAAAGGAAAATTTGGGGAAAATTGTAAAATCTTTCAAAAATGCAAAATGATGATTTGAAGGACAAATTGGTATAGGAACTTGATAATTTTAGTATGGTTGAATTCGTACCAGAATGAGTGTTTGGGTTTTGTAAATTTTATCGGATTCCGAGGTGCGGGCTCGGGGAGTTGACTTTTATTGACTTTTTAGAATTTGAATAAAAATCAC